ATAATTATTGGCTTTTAAAAACCATGTAATCAACAGAGAGGTATGGCTGCAAACAAAACGCATATTTCTTCAGTTTTAAAATGCACTTGTGCTCCATAGCAAATTTCATATAGATTATTTATACATAGCTTATCAATAAAGGTGGCCTAATTCTGCTACCAAATAAAGAAATCTTGGTGTCATTTTTCAAACTTTGAGGGTGTGAAAGACGTTTCTATTCACGATCGGTACATGATGTATGTGTCTGTGCATGTATTTCAACGAATTATACACGAATACATAAGGCGACATATTAAATTAGCAGCACGTTTGCTGTTCATATATTTGCAAAACCAACTTCCTGTCTGTTTGCTCCATCTTGGTTCAAATTCTCCCTGGCTGCCATCACTCCTGAACACGTTTACTGAGTGGCCCACTCCCACTCAATAACTATAGAGAAGACAAAGAATTCTGTGCTTTCAATGCCTCCTCACAGTCCTCCCATGCCCCCCTGGCCACTACCTATATCCCAACACACACATGCACACAAGCGCGCGCACACACACACACACACACACACACACACACACACACACTTCTGTCTCACAGGAGGGTCAAAAGCAAAAAGCCAACTGATCACAGGCTAAAATCTCCAAAACTATGGACTATCAGAAATCTCCTGCCAAATACTTTATGTATTTTGTCACAACAGCAAACCATGGCTACGATGCAAACCAAAGGGTTACAGTGAAGACTGCCTTGACCATCCTTTCTAAATGTATATGCTGATTTCTACTGTGTTTGTACCTAGATAAATATGTAATAAAATATGTAAAATTAATTTACCTATAACTATATTCTTAGACACACAATTTTGTTTCCTTCTGTTTGGTCAAAGATCTTAGTGCTCTTTTTCCATGGCCCACAGCCTGAGAACAAAACATTATTATTCATAATAACCTCCATCTTGTACATGTTATTTTCCAAAACATACCTTGGAGTGGGGCAGCAGTCATCATGAGCTTTCTGAGTTATCTCCCCACATGCTCAGCTGATGCCTCCACAGATGTTAGAGTCAGATGT